AGTAATACAGAGTATGGTTTCTGACTATGATGGAATTAAATTAGAAATCAATATCAGAAAGAGACTGTGAAAATTCTCAAATATTTTGAAACTAAATTATACACTCCCAGGCTGGGTGTGGTGGCTCATGCCTATAATCCGAGCTCTTTGGGAGGCCAAGGCTGGTGTATCACCTGAGCCCAGGAGTTTGAGACCAGCCTGGGCAATATGACAAAACCCCATGTCTACAAAAAATACAAAAATTAGCCAGGCATGGTGGTGCACACCTGTAGTCCCAGCTACTCCAGGGGTTGAGGTGGAAGGATTGCTTGAGCCTGGCAGGTAGAAGTTGTGGTAAGTGGAGATCGCGCCACTGCACTCCAACCTGGGAAACAGACTTGGACTCATCAAAAAAAAAAAAAAAAGAAAAGAAAGAAAGAGAGAGAAGAAAGAAGAAAGAAAGAAGAGAACGAGAGAGAAAAAAGAAAGAAGAAAAGAAAGGAAGGAAGGGAGGGAGGGAGGAAGAAAGAAAGAAAAGAAAGGCACTTCTAGATAATCCAACTGTCAAAGAAAAATTCAAAAGGGGAATTAGCAAATATTTTAAAGTGAATGAACCTGAAAGCACAATATATCTAAATTTGTGTAATGGAGCTAAAACCAAAAGCTGATTCTTTCCCAAAACTGATAAAAATTATAAGCCTCTATCCAGACGGATCAAGAAAAAAAGAGAAAACACGTAATTAATACTAAGAATGAGAAAGGGTTCATCACCACAGAGTCTACAGATATTAAAAGATAATAATGGAATAGTATGTATAACTTTATACCAATAAATTCAACAATTTAGATTAAATAAATCCTGTAAAATATCCAAACTACTAAAACTCACTCAAGAAGAAATAGATATACTGAATGGTCCTATATCTAGGAAATATGTTGAATTTGGAGTTCTTTCCAACAAAGAAAACTCCAGGGGTGGGAGGAGTTGGGGAAGTAAAGAGGGATCACCAAGGGCTGTATGAACCCTGCAGGTAGCTGTGTTTGGTCTGTTTAGCATCTTGACTGTGGTCATGGTTTCACAGATGTGCACATATGTGTCAAGAGTCATCAAATTGTACACTGTAAACCTGTGCACTTTACCGTATGTCAGTGGCATTACAATAAACCCAAGAAAAACAGTGACACCCCTGACAAAGACTGGAGGGCTCAAGGCAACTCTGCTTCTATGTGTGCCCTCCCAGCACAACTTTGCTCCCCTGGCAGCCTCAGAACCACAAAAAAGATGTTCAGAAAGCCAGTCACAGTGACCCCACAGCCCTATGATGGATCTGCTGTCCCATGGGGCTTATCTAGTCACGTAGAAAGGAGTCATCATCTGTCCTCTCTCTGATTATTCTCAACTGCAAATACATTGCCATGGCTCGAGTGCTTGTGACCCCTCCAAAATTCATGTTGAAACTTAATCCCCAGTGCAACAGGATGAAGAGCTGAGGCCTTCAGTGGATGATGAGGTCATGAGTGCTCCACCCTCATGGGTAGGATTTGTGCCTTATAAAAGGCCATGAGGGGGCGAGTTTGCCCTTCCCGTCCTTTCTACTGTTCATCCCTTCTGTTGTGTGAGGACATGATGTCCCTCCCCTCCAGGGCATGCACACAAGACACCAACTTGGAGACAGAGACTGAGACCTCACAAGATATTGAACCTGCCAGCACCTTGATCTTGGACTTCCAGCCTACAGATCTGTAAGAAATAAATTTCTCATGGTTCTTTATAATTTATCCGTCTCAGAGGTTTTGTTACAGCAGCACAAATGGCCTGAGACCCGCATATACAATCAGATTCCGTGAGCCTCGAGTGGGCACTCCCAGACCCTGGCCTGGCAAGTTACCTGTGCAGCAGGGGCTGTGGACTCCTCTGGGGAAGGACAGAGAAGCTAAGATGCAAATTCTGCTCTAGGCTCCTGCTCCCAGGGGAGTAGAGGCCAGGACACCACCCATAGCCGCAAATTCAGGGCCTGTCTCCCCTTCCTCCAGCCTGTCTCTCTTCCTGAGGTCTCTCGCCTAAGACAGCTGCTCTCAGCTTTGGGCAGGCTCGCCTGGGAACGTGGTGAAGACCCAGATCCCTGCTGCCCGTCCTACTCACTGAGCCCGGGCCTCTGTGGTGAGTCAGAACCTCTGCCTTCGCATACTGGTTTAGCTACTTTAACAGAGACCAAAAAAACACTGGCTTTAAAAGGCAGAAGGTTCCTTTCTCTTGTGGTAAAGACAAGCTGTTCAGCGGTCCAAGTGGGCAGGGCAGTGTGTGCATGAGCTGGTCCCACGTAGGGTGATCAGCAGTCCTAGTTTGCCCCAGACTCAGAAGATTCCAAGAATGTTTCAGTGCCAAATCTGGAAACATGCAGGCACACCTGGACAGGTGGGTCAGCAGGGATGCTTTGCCCTGCCCTGGCGTGGCCCTCCAGTGGCACAGCTGGCACATCTCAGCGCCACAGTGCCCCAGTTCCACCCAGAAGTTGCATCTGCCTCTGTTCACACTTCCCTGGGCAGAACGGTGGCATGTGTTTCTACTAGCAGCCCAGGAGCCCCACATGCCCAGCTTCCCTTCAGGAATTCCGTGGCTGAAGGAATGGACCCCAAGGAGCCATCCTTCACCTGAGTCAGAGGCAGAGGCTGGAGAGGCTGGAGTGGAGGGGCTGGGGTGCCAGGAAGCACAGGTCTAGTCTCAGCAAAGTAGGGGCCTGGCCTCCTGGTGTCCCCAGGGACCAAGCAGGGTCTTGCTGTGAGACCACACCTCATTGCCCCCTGGGGCCTTCCACTGGTCCTCCAAGGCCCTGGCTGAAATTCGGCCTCTCCAAGGATCCCCCACTGGCCCTCCCACCACATCAGCCCCAGTGACAGCTTTAGCTCTGCCCAGCTGAGCACTCAGGAAGTTTGCTGCATCATCTAAGAGGAAGCTCCAGCGAGCTCCATGTTATCCTACAGAAGGAAGAAATAGGTCCTCCAAGGGGATAAGGGATTTGCCTAGGTCACTTGCTTGTAGGCATAGAACTGGGGTTTGAATGCGTGACAGACTCTCGGTCCCCTGTGCCAGGGGCAGGGAGAGTGGAGGAAGGTACCTCTGCCTCTTCAACCCCTCAGGCCTCCCACCTTGCCCATTCTCCTGGCCAGGTCCCCAGGGCTAGCCTACAGGCTCCAGCGGGAATGGGTGGGAGCCAGCCAAGGCACCAGTGTTGTGGTGAGTGGGAGGAGCGGGAGCAGGCTGGAGCCCCTGAAAGTGGGGCCCCTGGGAGCCAAGCCCTTTCCCCAGCCTGGCTCCTTGAGGCAGTGCAGCTCAAACCCGAGGGGGTGGTCTGGCCCGGTGGCCCAGGGGAGGTCACTGCAATGAGAAAGCTGGTGTCAGGGGCTGGGGGCTTCCCTGGAGAGCAAAGTGCCAGGGGCAGAGTTGAGGGGAGGGCCGTGGGTAAGGACCAGGCCCCTCCACCAACCATCCTCATTTCTGCTTCTCTGAGATTAGAAAGAAAAGGGTGGCTTGCTTTCGAGGGAGAAACCACACTGAGACCTGGGGGGGGAAGGACAAGCATCCCCAGGGACATAGTGATGCTTTGGAACGTGTTTATTGTTATCAGTCTAAATTGGACAGACAGACACCAGACAGAATGCGTCCAAGCTGCAGAACAGGGACACAGCCGCGATCCCCCACCTGAGCCTCAGCCTCTCTCATGAGGCTGCTGAGGGTTGAGGGCCCATACAGAGGGCGTGGGGGAACATGCTTGTAAAATGAATTGGCTGCAAGGGGCCGTGGTGGTCAGGAGGCAGCAGCTGGGGAGGACACTGGACGCTGCCAAGGTCCCAGGCTCTGAAGGCAGAGCCTGAGAAGTGGCCACAGTGGCATTTGCTGGGCAACAGAGGAGGTGCTGGCCAGTGGTGGATGCTTTCCCCAGAACTGCACTCCCCCCACCTGGGTGGCCAGTGGATCCTGCTCTCCTGCAGCTGGCCCTCTTCTGGAGCAGCCCTCCACAGTCACCTCCTGTCTCCTCACATCAACCCCCCACGTGTGCAGGTCGGGCTCAGAGAGGGCAGGTGACTGGCCCAAGGCCACCCTAGCAGGCCTCAAACCCAGGCCTGTCTGACCCATCTCCCAGGACTCCCCGCAGCTCTCTAAACACTGGGTGAGGAGGTGGGGACTGGAGGGGGACCCTCCATCCCAGAAGACACAGCAGGCCGGCAGCACCAGGCAGAAGACCCTGGCCCCTGGCTGGAGGTGGGGACGGATTCAACCCTTTGCTGAGTCCCTCCCAGGACCGCCTGGGGCTTCACACGCAGGCTGGCGCCTAGACCTCTCGGGTGGGCGCTACCACGAGGTTCCAAGGAGGCTCTGGCGAAGGCACCTGTCATCGTGGGCGCCGCTTCTCCTCTACCTGGATGTGGTCTCCAAACTTCCTCCCTACCCCTAGTTTCTGTGCCTCGAGATCCTTCATGAGTCTAGCGCGCACTCGTAGGAGCCGCGCAGCGCTCCCTAAGGCCTCAGTGAGTGGAGAAACTCTGGGGAGCGGGCAGCGGGAACCATCGGTCGGCCAGCAGGGTGTGGCTGCTGGCAGCCTGGTCGGCAGCTCCCAGGAAGCCCAGGGCAAGGAGCGCTCCTCAACCCTACGGGCCCATCGCCCTTTCCTCGCTGGGAATTCCACGGAGTTTCGAGGTGGGGGCCAGCGGGGCTCAGGAGGGCGGCGGCGGCGTCTCCAGGCCGGCAGCGCGCCAGGAGCGTGGGCGACCCAGCGCGCCCCCACCCGGCGGTTCCCAGAGCACAGCCCGGCCGCGCCCGGCCACCTCCCAGCAGCACTCGGCTCTCAGGCCGAGGGTCTTCCCTGGCAGCAGGTGGAGCCAGCCAGGCCCTGGGGGCTGCGGGGTGCGGCGCATGGGACGGCCGACCTGGAGCGCGGAGCGGGTCCGTGGGCCCCTCTGGACTGGTCGCCGGCGCGCCCCTGGCTGTGACTCTGACTCCAGGCTGCGCATGGGACGTTCCGTCGCTGTCGCCGTGCCCGCCGGGTCTAGTGGTCCTAAACATTTCACAATTGCGCTACAGAACTGTTGAACTGTTAAGAACCACTGGACCCAGCGCGCGAGTCCCCAGCACCGTCGGTTCGCCGAGCTGTGGAGAGAGGAGGCCACGACGCCCTTGGGACCGACCGCGTCGCCTGCGGATCCTGGGGACCGGCCCCTGCGCCCAGATCCCCGCTGGTCGTGCACCCACTGCCCTGCTGCAGCCACCCGGCCCCGACGCCGTACCGGACGCAATGGCCTGGCGCTGGGGGATTCCAGCCGCCAAGCCCAGCCCCGCCGCGTCTTCCCAGACCCCGGCGTCCCCTCGTCCTGCGGGCCCCGCGTGGCAGGGCAGCTGAGCTCCGAGCGGCAGCGGCCAGCGCGGCGGCGCCTTTTATGCCGCGTGGCCGCCCTTCCCGGCGCCGGAATGCGCCCGCGCCGTGCTGGCCGGACCGGTTTTTCCGGGCGGGGCGGCTCCCGGGCCCACAGGTCCCGCGACTGATCCTCCACGGCCCGGGGACCTGCTCCGTGCGCCCGCGCGGGGGTGGCCCTGACTCAGCGGCCGCCCCGCCCCACCTGGCGCCCCAGCCTCCAGTGCCGGGCCTGGGCGCACCTGGCCTCCCGGGTTCTGGGTCCCTGCCGGGCCACGCCCGCACCGTCTGGTCTGGGCCGGGGGTACTCGGGTGCACGGAGGGCCCGGGGCTCCACCTTGACCGGGTCGGGGCCCAGGGCGGCCCGAGCAGGTGAGGACCAGCGCCCGACAGGAGCCCAGGGCCGTGCTCGCCCTCCAGCGGGTGTGGGGGCTGGGCTGGACACACCCACCCCGGCCCCTCTCACTTCAAAGGGAACTTCGTGGGAGGGGGAAAGGGAGGGGTAAAGAGAAAGTGAAACTGGAGGGAGGGAGGTTTCTGCCTCTCAGACCCTGAACCCTGAAACCGCCCAGCAGGTTTCTGCTTCTCAGACCCTGAACCCCCACCCCGCAGCCCACAGAAGTAGCCCTGTACCTGCCTCCTCATTTCCCACGCGGTGGGAGGGACGCCCTGCCCCCTCACGCTGCAAGAGCCCGCGCCTCGCTCTCCCCACTCACATCCCAGCCCCGAACGCCCTGGCGCAGCTGGCCCTGCCGGCCCTGCCCACTTAGTCACCTGGAGGTGTCCGGGCCTGACCAGTGGCGCCTCCCAGGGACTGTGTTTCAGCAGAACATGGCAGCTGAGGGGAGGGCTCGGGCTCTAGGAAATACAGAGCAGGGGAGGAGGTGACCCCCTTCAGCGCTTGCCCCAAGTCTGGAGCCATTGGTGTGTCTGTATGGGGTTGGGCAGCAGGGTGGTGACCATTCATTCCAGTGCAGGGCGGTGACACGCCATCCCACCGCCTGCCCAGCCAGCCAGGAGCCAAGTGCTCAGGAACCAAGGTTGGCCCCAGACCGGAACACAACCACCAGATCTGAGGGCTCCCTGAACATTTCCACATGTGCTGTGTGTGGCTCAACTACCGCAGCCACCCTGGAAAGGGAATCAGAAAGGTTTTGTTATTTTCATTTTGCAGCTGGGGAAACTGAGGCTCAGGGAGGGACAGTGACTTCTGAGGATTGCACAGCTCTTGGTGGTAGAGAAGGGATGGCAGGCCTTGCCATCGCTGGGTCTGTGGGTCTCAGTGCCTATGTGTGGAGTCTGAGGGGCTGTGGCATGGGGGAGGGGATAGAAGTGGACATACCGGGCCTGAGATCAAGAGCAGGAGCTTGGGAGCTCCTCCTGCAGCACAACTGCATGGCTGAGAAGAACCCACCTCTCTTTTTTTTTTTTTTTTTTTTTTTTTTTTTTTTGAGACGGAGTCTTGCTCTGTCGCCCAGGCTAGAGTGCAGTGGTGCAATCTTGGCTCACTGCAACCTCCATCTCCCCAGTTCAAGTGATTCTCCCACCTCAGCCTCCCAAGTAGCTGGGACCACAGACAGAAACCACCACACCTGGCTAATGTTTTTATTTATTTTTTAGAGACAGGTTTCGCCATGTTGGCTATTCTCAAACTCCTAGGCTCAAGCTATCCACCCTCCTCGGCCTCCCAAAGTGCCGGAATAGGAGGCGTGAGCCACCAAGCCTGGCCACCTCTCCTTAATTCTAAGCCCTGGTCCAGCCCAGTCCTGGGCAGACTCCTCCCAACACACAGCCACCTGGGTGGGCTCTCCTCACCCAGCAAACGTGGCTCCTGTGTCCAGCATCCAAAGGAACTGATGAGAGAGGACAGGGAGAAGGTGACAAGTACAAGCACCTGCAGTTCCCACCAGCAGCAGGAAATACTGAGGTGTGACCAGAAGGGGAACTTCCTAGCATACATGAGAACTCTGGTTACCTCCAGCTGGGGAAGGGTGGCCCTGGAGGGCCCTCAGCTGAGGAGTCTGATTTTAGGATAGAAAATGCTGGTAAAAAAGACCGTAGTCATGGTGGAGAGATGTTTCCCAGAGATAGACCTGGGATCCAGGTGATTCGAGATGGGCTGTAGGAACCAAGGCCTCCCCCAGCGTGAAATTACCAGGTGTGAGCAACACCACCCCGCTGTGGGGAGGCGGGTCCCACGCACACCGGGCACCCGGCTGTGCCTCATTCCTGCATCTCCCATGGCCTCATGCCACAGCGAGAGACAAGGGGGCCCTGATTCACAGCCCGGCTCTGCCCTGTGCCAACGCAGAGCCCTGGGCGCAGGACGGGGCCACTCTGTGGCTTAGCTTCCTCAACCGTGAAGTGGGATAGACGGGGACCCGGTGCCCTCCTAGAGGCACAGTGGGGACGAAACACACCAACATGGGGCAGGACACGAACGCTCCAAGCCTGTCTGTCGCAGCTGTTCCCACTGCACACCAGAGAGCCAGAGGCCTTGGAGCCAGGTCACTGGCCAGGGCAGCGCCCAGGGAGACCTAAGCAGTGGCTCTGCACCCCTTGCCACTTCTGGGTGATTCTAGAGGAGTCCCCTTACCCAGGGCCCCTCTGGCCTCTCCCCAAGAGGCACAAGGCAACCCCCAAGGGAGCTCCCAGACTCGAGCCTGTGACTCTTCCCAGCCTCCTGAGACACTGGCCCAGTCCCGGGGCTCCCTGTGGTAGGGCCCTACATCCCACAAGGGTTTGGAGGGGACTGAAAATGGGGGTCTGGCTGCCCAGCCTTGTGAGGAGCTCTCCCCATCTGCCCAGCCCCTGTGGCCCCCAAGCCATCTGTGCCGAACTCCATCAGTGGCCCAGTTGGAGAAAGGCCAACTTGACAGGAGCTCTCTGTGGGACAAGCAGGATGAGTGGGTGTTTCTACACTACAGGACACTCACCCCAGGCGTCAGTGGGTGTGTCTACACTGGCAGGTTGGCACCTGCTCTGGGAGGGTGCTGCCATGTGGGCTAACGTGAGCCACCTGCAGCTTTCACAACCTAGGGCTCCAAGGGCCTGGAGCAGTGCTGAGTGGGGTGGCATGAGCAACAGGCTCTGCCCAGTCACTCGGGAGCCGAGTGAAGCGGGTGGACACTGCCGTGTGCAGGAGCCACCGGGGAGACCAGGTGGGCTCAGCCCGGGCATGCTGGAGGTAGTTCCACCCCTTCTCACCTGCACCAGGCATTTGTTCAGATGCCCCACCACCTCCCTCAAGGCCCTCCAAGGGTCCCGGTCATCTGGGGACAGCAGAGGCTCCTGGTTCTCAGGCCTGGTGCCACCCTCCCTCCACCAGCAGCCCCTCATGGGCCTCACCAGGGTGAGGAGCAAAGGCTTCCCCAGCCGTTTGCACAGCCTCACCTTGTTGTGCAAGGCCCAGGGACACCTGTGTCGGGGAGAGGACAGCAAGGATGCCGGCGGCAGTGCCAGCTGGGCTCAGGAACCATGCTGAGGAGCCCAGGGTATGCCCAGGTGCCAAGGGCCAGCTCTGGGGTCACACTTTTGCCCTCCTGGACCTCCAGTCCAGGGGCCAGCCAAACAGAGGGACCGACAGGAACCGTCACCTGGGCAGGTAGAAAGGCCTGGAAGGAGGCAGCTCCCACGCTCCTCACACCCAGCAAAAAGGGGTCAGGGGCTGGGGGCAGCAGCAGGGAGTCCCTGGCCATCCCAGGCCAGTGCATGCACACATGGTGGGGGCCAGGGGTCCACACCCCTGATTTCAGCCCCAGCTGAAATCACGAGGTCACCCCTGACCTTAGAGCACCACCCCCACAGGGCAGCAGCAGGGCCCACCCCACCCGCCCATCTGCCCAGGCTGTGCAACCAGGCTGGCACAGGTCAGCCTGTGCAGGGTGGCCTGGCTCACGGTGGAGGCTGAGTCAGGAGCGTCAGGCAGTGCAGAGTCTGGAAGGGTCCCGAGGGGCTCACCACCAGAGTGTGAAGCCTCCTGGACATTCATGGCCTTCTGCAGCCCCATGGAGCCCTGGTGTGACCCTGGCCTGAGAGGGGGGCCGGGTGCAGTGATGCCGGGGTGATGGAAAACCAAACAGCAACTGGGACGGGACTGTGAGGACTAAAGAGTTAAGCGGGAGCAGCGTGCTCATCCAGGGGTTGGAGGGCTGCCTGGAGGAGGTGACTTCAAGCTCCAGAACGAAGGCGCAGGAGGTGAGGAGATGGGCAGAGGGTGTCTGGAGGAGGGACCAGTCTGGGCAAAGGCAGGGTGGCAGGAAGGAGGAGGGGCAGCTGGGAAAGGACCGCCTGGCCGAGTCATCTCCGGGCGCCCCACCCCGCCCGGCTCACACAGCTACCCCGGGAAGGATGGGCCAAGTGCCCCCCATCACCCCCACAGAGCCTGAGCCTGACTCCCCACACACGTCCACAGTCCCGGACCCAGACAGGCCCACGTGGGCCAGGCTGTATAGACCTGGTGAGGCGATGCCAGAGACTTTATTGTCGTTATGCCCAACAAAGGCCTTCAGGCTTTGCATGAGAGCAGGCTGGGAAGCAGCCCCAGCAGTGGGGTCATGCCTGAGACCCCTCCAGCAGGCCACGGGAGGCAGCAATGGCTTACACTGCAGCAGGACGGCTTCAGGTTAGACACCAGGCAGCACTTCCTGAAAACATGAGGGCTCCTGAGAACATGTGGAGACCCAGGTAGTGTGTGAAGGCAGGGCAGAGAGACAAGCCCAGG